TGGCCCAGCTGGCCAAAGAAGCCATCGCCCCAGCTCCAGGCGGCTCCGTCGGCGGTGAGGGCGAGGCTGTGGTAGCGTCCAGCCGTCGCGGCCACGACACGCCGACCAGCGAAGGCCTCGACCTTCTTCGGCAGCAGCTGGCTCTGCAGGTCGCCGTGGCCCAAGCGGCCGCCGAATCCATCGCCCCAGCTCCAGACAGCGCCATCGGCGGTGATGGCGAGGCTGTGGTGCTCTCCGGCCGAGACAGCGACGACGCGCTGGCCAGCAAACGCCTCGACCTTCTTCGGCAGAAGCTGCGGCTGCTGGTCGCCGTGGCCCAAGCGGCCGCCGCCTCCATAGCCCCAGCTGCAAATAGCGCCATCGGCGGTGATGGCGAGACTGTACCCGGCTGCAGCCGACACAGCGACGATGCGCCGGCCAGCCAAAGCCTCGATCTTCTTCGGCTGCCAGTGGGTCTGCCGGTCGCCGTGGCCCAGCTTGCCCCCACCTCCATCACCCCAGCTCCAAACAGCGCCGTCTATGGCGAGGGCGAGGCTGTGGATCTCTCCCGCCGACACACTCACGGCGCGCTCGCCGCCCAGCGAGGAAGGGAGGCGGGTGGGCGTGTTGAGCTGCGCCACGCCCTCGCCGTGGCCGAGTAGCCCTGGGGTGATGGAGGCTTGGGAAAGGGGGTGAACCGGCGCATAGCCGCACGACGAGAGCCGCCCCTCGCGAACGATGAAGAGGCTGTGCCGAGTGCCTGCGGCCGCCCTCGCCGGCGGGTTGGACTCGCGCAGCAGCGCAGCGAAGCACAGCCACCGCACGGCGCAGCTCTCGCCCTCTGGCTGCGCCGGCAGCTCGAAGCCGCGCTCTTGCGCCCACAAGCGGATGCCCTCCAGCGCAAGCGAGGCGTGGAAGAGCAGCGAGACGGCCGCGACGCGAGCGATGTCGGCGGGGTCGCAGCGAGAGAGGGCGCGCACGAGGAGGTCCGTGGGGAGGTCGAGGAGGCGGGCGGGCGGCGGCGTGTCGGCGAGGGAGCGGCGGCGGAGGCGGAGGCGAGGCGGCGCGAGCGGCGGCGCGGCGGGGTGGACATCGCGAGCAAAAGAATTGTTGAAGAAGGATGTGAGGCTAATGACTGCACTCCAAGTGCTCCAAGTGCTCCAAGCTCGGGGACACAGAATTCCAGAAATGGTGTGTGTGTGTGTGTGTGTGTGTGTGTGTGTGTGTGTGTGTGAAACCGCCAATGGGCAGTTATCAGTTGTGCGGCCGTCGCCGCGGCTCGCCTCTGCCGCGGCGGCTGCTGCGCGCACGCGGCGGCGCCGCTCTCTCGCGAGACGGCTGGCGACGCGGCTCGCGGCCGACGTACGCTGCGCTCGTCCGACCGCCCGCGGCGTGGCGTGCGCGGCGCTGCGCGCCGCTCTGCGAGCGCTTCTGCGCTGCTGTCACACTGCACTGTCTCTCTCTGGTGCTGCTGCTGGTGGTGATGTTGCTGCTGCTGGTGCATATGCTGCTGCTGGCGCGGCGCGGCTCTGCGACTCGGCTCGAGACGCGCGTCGCGGCAATCTGACGCGGCGGGCGGCGTCGCGGGCGGCAGCGATCGCGGCTCGACGGTGGAGGCGGAGGGTGGTGGCTGTGGTGGATCTTTGAGTTTATTTCATGATGGACTACAAGGACTGGGGGTTCAACCGGGAGGCAGGGGGTCAACCAGGCGACGGAGGACCGTGGGCCATCGCGGGGACGGGTCCGTCCGGAGGGCGAACCCGATAGACCCGGATGGTCTTCACGCCGGTGGGAGGGACCGAGGCGTCTTGGACGCTCAGCTCTACCTTAGCTCCTGAGGGGCGCGTGGTTCTAACCACGTAGTATGACTATAGCCCACCACAGACACCCTCCCTGCTCCACACGTGTGCACACACCCTCACCCTCTCCTCTCTCCTCTCTCTCTCTCTCTCCTCTCTCCTCTCCTTGTCTGCTGTCTGCCTGACTCAGGCGCAATCTGCCGATGCGAGATTGTGTGTGGGCTGCTCCTAGGGGGCCCTGTGCGATCCGACGGGTAGGGGGGCTGTGCCCGGGCGGTGTCCGGTGTGGAGTCCCCTTCTGATCCCGCCTGAGATGTTGGGTGCGAGGTCGTGGAAGCATTGATCCCAAGGGGGGGAGCTGATCCCACTCGTAACCAACTCTCAGGGGCAGTAGGTGGGCGAGCTTCGGGCGCGCCCATCTCGATCGACAAGGCGTCGCTACGCGCGGTCTTCCGCGGGGGGAGCTTCGTCGACGGGTGCGGGAGCGCGGCGCAGCCAGTGCCGTGGCGATGCCTCCGGCTGTTTGCGGCGGGCGGCTTGCTGCTCGCTGCATGGCGAAAAACTCGTCTCGCCACACGCCAAGGGCTTATGCTCTGGCGAGACGTGAGGCGCATGCGCCCAGGATGGGAGGGGGCATGCGTAACGACACTGCTAGAGATGCCTTTCGGGGCCCAGAGATAAAACTTCTGATGCCATGCGTGACCTAGTAGTGTCCCCAGCTATGGGCGTGTCCACGTTGGAGCCAGGTGTGGTGTGGGCGCGAGAATAGCTCCGCCGTTCATGGAGGCAACCGATGCGAGTCGACTGGTGTGTGTCGTCGTGGTTTCGTATCAAGAATACTCACTCACACGTACACATAAGGTAGGTAGGTAGAAAGGTGAAGAACAGCCAGGCTCGGACTGGACACCAACGCGGTATGGGTGGACGCGAGACAGATGATGACGACACGCACGAACGACATACAGACACAAACAAGCTCACAAGACACACAGCCAGCTGGCTGCCGCACACCCTGAGTTGGCGTACACATAACTCAGGGCCACATTCTTCCTGTCGCCCCCCCCAGCACTCCAAGGTGCCAAGAGAAACAAACAAGGGCACAACACATAACTCAAGGCCAGCTCGGGCGTGTGTGTGAGTGTGAGTACACACACACACACACACACAGCTCGGGCCCGTATGTATGTAGAAAGATGAACAACAGTCAGGCTCGGACTGGACACCAACGCGGTATGGGCCCGAGAGAGAGAGAGAATTCTTGATACGAAACCACGACGACACACACCAGTCGACTCGCATCGGTTGCCTCCATGAACGGCGGAGCTATTCTCGCGCCCACACCACACCTGGCTCCAACGTGGACACGCCCATAGCTGGGGACACTACTAGGTCACGCATGGCATCACAGAAGTTTTATCTCTGGGCCCCGAAAGGCATCTCTAGCAGTGTCGTTACACATGCCCCCTCCCCTCCTGGGCGCATGCGCCTCACGTCTCGCCAGAGCATACGCCCTTGGTGTGTGGCGAGACGAGTTTTTCGCCATGCAGCGAGCAGCAAGCCGCCCGCCGCAAACAGCCGGAGGCCTCGCCGCGGCACTGGCTGCGCCGCGGTCCCGCACCCGTCGACGCAGCTCCCCCCGCGGAAGGCCGCGCGTAGCAACGTCTTGACGATCGAGATGAGCGTGCCTGAAGCTCGCCCACCTACTGCCCCTGAGAGTTGGTTATTGAGTGGGATCAGCTCCCCCCCTTCTCTCTCTCTCTATGTATGTATGTAGTAAGGTGAAGAACAGTCAGGCTCTCTCTCTCTCTCTCGGTATGGGCCCCTTGGCCGGTCATGGCAAAGAAAGAAAATCGACCGTGAGTTCAGCGAAATGCTCGCCTCGGCCCGCTACGAGCTGCGGCTCGCCGCTCTTCCGCCCGATGCCCTGATCGCGATTACCGCCGGCGCGATGCGGGACAGCCCCGCTGCAAACAGGAGGGCCGAGGCGCTCCTCGCCCACCACAGCCCTCCGCCCGCCGTCGCGACCGACGTCCTCGCGGACCCGGACCTTGCGCCGTGCGTGCTCGAGAAGACGGGGCTGCGCCACGCGGCCGTGTGCAAGCGGTGGTCCCTGATGTGCGCGCCGCGCGGTGCCTTCGCGCGGCTGGTGGAGACCGCTGGCGATGCCTCCTCGGAGCTGCGCGCTGTTGCGCTCGGAGAGCTCAAGCGGCTGTCGGGAGAGGAGGCTGGCAGCAGGCGGGTGGACGCGCTCGTCGGTCTCTTACGGGTCGGAGGCGAGGACGAGAAGGCGGACGGCGCGGCAACGCTCCAGGAGCTTGCCCGGGACGACGACAACAAGGCGGCGATTGCGGCGGCTGGCGGCATCGAGGTCCTTATCGCTCTCGCTCGCGACGGGAATGAGGCGCAGAAGGAGCGTGCGGCGGGGACGCTGTGGAACCTCTCTGTCAACGACGACAACAGAGTGGCGATTGCTGCGGCCGGCGGGGTCGAGGCCCTTGTCGCGCTGGCTCGCGACGGGAGTGAGGCGCTGAAGGAAGAAGCGGCGGCGGCGCTGTGGAACCTCGCTATCAACGACGACAACAGAGTGGCGATTGCTGCGGCCGGCGGGATCGAGGTGCTTATTGCGCTGGCTCGCGATGGGAATGAGATGCAGAAGGAGAACGCTGTGGGGGCGCTGGCGAACCTCGCTGTCAACGACGACAACGAGGCGGCGGTTGTTGCGGCCGGCGGCATCGAGGTCCTTATCGCTCTGGCTCGCGATGGGAATGAGGGGCAGAAGGAGAATGCGGCGGGGGCGCTGTGCAACCTCGCTGGCAACGACGACAACAGAGTGGCGATTGCTGCGGCCGGCGGGGTCGAGGCCCTTGTCGCGCTGGCTCGCGACGGGAGTGAGGCGCTGAAGGAAGAAGCGGCGGCGGCGCTGAGCAACCTCGCTTACAACGACGACAACAGAGTGGCGATTGCTGCGGCCGGCGGGATCGAGGTCCTCGCGTCGCTGGCTCGCGACGGGAATGAGGGGCAGAAGGAGAATGCGGCGGGGGCGCTGTGGAACCTCTCTGCCAACGTTGATTGAGCCGCCGTACTTTAGAGCCGTAGCAGAATGGCTTTCTACCCTAAGAAAAAGAAAGTATTGCGGAAAAAGAAATTGCGCGCGGGGGCCCGCCCCCCCCCCCCCGCCTTTGTGAGCATGATTGCTAACACGCCCTGGCGGCTCACACGCCCATGGGCTGCGGCGAGAGCAAACCGGACGAGCTGGAAGAGGAGCAGAGAGAGCAGCTCGCGCAGGAGAGGCAGCTGATGCCGGAAAAGCAGCCGGTCGGCAAGCTCGATCTTGACAGACGATGCCGAGGGCTATGCTGCCGGCAGACTAAGGCCGAGGACGAGCATGTCAGCCGGGCTCGACGCTGCCGACCACAAGGGCATCCCGCTGCTGGCGGCCCTCGACAAGCTGCTCATCGCCGCCCTCGCCTCGGGCGCCATCAAGAGTTGCTCCGCACCGAGTTCCTGCGCGCCGACGGCTCCGAGGCGGTGCTGCCCAAACTCCTCCGCCGGCAAGAGCTGGAGCGGATGGAGGAGGAGCGACGCATCCGCATCTTCCTCACGCCGAAGGAGGCTGTTGCGGCGCTGCGCTCGCTGAGCCGCGAAGTCGCCGGGCTTACTTACGGCTGGGCCACGCCGGACCACCCCGACGTGACCGGAGAGTATCTGGCCAACGTGCGGCGCTTCCTGCGCCACCCGCTCGGCGAGCACGTGACCGCCCTCTTCTGGGAGTGCGCCGCCACCCCAGACCCACATCAGACTACAGTGGCTACACGCGTGGGAGGGCAGACTCTAAACGCTGTGGCACACCTCTCGTCGCTGCTCTGCTGCCTCTCGCCTCTCTCGACATGAACTCTCTGCCCCGATCCTGTCTCACATTCGCACGCCCTCGGCTCGCCCGCGCGCCTCCGTTCCGCAGCTTTTCCTCCCTCCCGCAAAAGCCGAGGACGGCGGCAGAGGACGAGCTCTTCTACAGAGCGGCTGCCGCCCAAGGTCATCGAGATCGACGGCGAGGGGCCCCGTGTGGCGGAGATGGAAGACCGCGCCGACGAGGGGGTGGGGCCGCGGAACAAGCGCGTGATCGCCGCGATCCACGAGGCCGCCTTCACGGGCAAGGGCGCGACAAGCTGGTTGTCGTCGAGTTGTACCGTGACTACTCAACCAAGGTGAACAACGCGATGGCTGGCTCGGGCGAACCGGCGGAGGATGCAGTGACGTGAGACACACACACACACACACACACACACACACACACACACACACACACACACACACACACACACACACACACACACACACACACACACACACACACACACACACACACACACACACACCGCTCACCCACGCGCACTGGGCCTTGCACTTTGAATGCCGTGGGGCTCCTGTCGTCAGACGTGGAGACGCGAGGGTTGCCCCCCCTTGCCCCACCACCTCGTGTGTGTGGAGAAGTTTACCTTACCTTACCTTACCAGTCTTCTCCCGCGCATCTGAAACGGATTGTTATTTGTTTGTCAAGAGGCTATGCTTCGTGCTACGGCCTCGAGGCTCCACGACTTGCCCGACGAAGCTAGGAGAGGGCACATCCTCTCAGCAGGGGCAGACGTTCAAAAACGGCCTCCTCACCACGCCACGCGCCTCGCCGCCTCGGCCTCCCCGGCCGCCGGGCGCCTGTGCCGTGGTGACGACAACCTGCTCCGTGGCCGCTCCGCCGCCGTGGCCGCCCCCGTCGGCGTCGGCGTCGGGTCCTCGCGACGGGAACTCGTCGTTGAAGACGGCCGGCAACCCGTAGTCGACGCACCACGGCGCGTCGAGCGAGAGGTAGGGCGGGAGCCCGCCTTTGTGCGCGGCGGAGAGCGCGTATGCGAGCCGAAAGAGCCCTGACGAGAATTTGCCCACCAGCGCGCTGCAGCGCGCGAGCAGCAGCGTCTCGACCAGGCCGGCCAGGACGCCTACTCTCGGAAATCTCGGCGAATCTCGGCGAGTCTCGGCGAGTCTCGGCGAATCTCGGCGAATCTCGGCGAGGGCGCCGTCGTGCGATCTTGCGATCGCCGCCGCATCGCCACTTGCGAAGCGGCGCTTGAGCAGCGTGTCGAGGATCTCAGGCGCCTCCTTGCCGCCCCCGCCGCTACGTGCCACGCTTGTGCAGATCAGCCCGCGGTCCGTGAAGGCTGCCCAAGGCCCGCCGAGACCCGCCGAGATCCGCCGAGATCCGCCGAGATGCCGCCGAGATGCCGCCGAGATGCACCTGCCTTCGTGACGTGTCACGTTTGTCATGACGGTCAGAAACCGCAGCCTCGGCCCGCTGCCACCGCCGCCTCCGCGCGCCGCCATGTCGCGCTCTGCCGCGCGCGCATCGGCGACCACCGCGGCGGAGTCGGTGGCGAGGAAGACTGTGCTGGCGCCCGCCGCCGCCGCCCATGGCAGTATCGCGCTCAGGTATGCCGACAGCGGCTCGCAGGCACGACACGTGCGCGCCGCCTGCGGGGCGTGTCGGGAGGACTGTCAGCGGACGTGTCCGAGGACGCAGTGGATGTGTCATGGGACGTGTCAGAGGAGGCAGTGGACGTGTCATGGGACGTGTCATGGGACGTGTCAGGAGTACGTGTCGGTGGACGTGTCATGGGACGTGTCGGGAGGACGTGTCGGGCGGAACAGCCAGAGGACGTGTCGGGTAGGAGTGCCAGTTGAAGGGCGGGTGAGGAGGACGTGTCGGTGTCGAGTGAGGAAGTGTCTTGGAAATATCTCTCTCAGGCGTGTCTCGGAAGTGTATCGGAAGTGTCTCGGAAGTGTCTCGAGGGTCTCGGAAGTGTCTCAGACCTCCACGGAGGCGCACGAGTCGCCGTGCCGCACGTGCAAACCAATCACCGTCTCGCCCGCCTAAGTTAGACTCAGCCCAAATGCGCAACTCGATCATTACTTTGCCGATCACCGCCTCGCCCGCCTAAGATAGACTCGGTCCACGATTGAGCCCAGCTCGTTCATTAATTTGCCAACCGCCGCCCTTCTCGCCTCCAGCGCCGCCGCCAGCCCGCTCTCGCGCGCCGCAGCGTCGACGCGCTCCTCGAGGCTCTGCGCGGGACGCGTCAGCTCCTCGAGCAAGTGCGACGCCCACCTGACCACAACGAACCAGCCGCTCACATTGTCATCTGCGAGCGGACCCCTCTAGCAAGTGCGACGCCCACCTGATCACAACGAACCAGCCGCTCACATTGTCATCTGCGAGCGAACGCCTCGAGCAAGTGCGACGCCCGCCAGAAGGCGCCCAAGTGCCGCCACGGCCTCGGGATCGCGTCGCCGCCGTGCGTCGCGAGCGACTCGCGCCGAAGCTGGGCGAGGTTGAGCCCGATCGCCGGTGCCGCGGCGCCGGCGGCCGTCGCCTCGCATGTGGGGCCGAGCGGCCGGAAGAAGCACCCGAGGTCGAGGCGCGACCGCCCCCTGCAGCGATCTGGTGAGAGGACTCCGGGGGCCTTTGGCGTCTGCAGCGCGAGCCCGAGCCGGATCGCGATCGTCCATGGCTTGAGCAGCGACCCGAGCATCGATGAGAAGCCAGAGAGGTGCAACTCGCGCTGCACGGTCGTCCCCGCACGGCACCGCTCCGCCTCTGCGCCAGCGGCCAGCGAGCGAAGGTGCGACTGCAAGCTGGCGCGGCGGCTGCGGCTGGTGAGCCGACCGCAAGCGGCAATCTCCCGCCGCGACGGGAGCAGTCGCCGATTGTTCAGGACAAAGTCGGGCTCGACGCAGCCAAACGGCACCGGCGACACAGCACGGAAGGGGCCGACGCTGCCATCGCCACCACTGGCGCTGCCGCCACCACCACCACCCTCGCCACCGCCACGAGCACTGCCGTTGCCGCTGCCACCAGTGCCGCTGCTGCCAACACCATTGCCGCTGCTGCCAACACCATTGCCGCTGCCACCACCACTGGTGCTGGTCGCTCCGAGCAGCAGCTGGCCGACCGCCCAAACGAGCTGCAGCAAAGAGCCGCGCAGCATGCGGCAATGCCAAGCACGGTCCAACGCAAAGCGGCGGCGGTACGCCTCCTCCGCGTCCGCCGCCCAAGAAGCAGCTCCACTCAGGGCGCCCTTTGGGCCGGAGGGCCGCACCTCGAGAGAGTGGAAGCCGGGCGCCTGGCCGAGGCGGCGGAGGTCGCAGCGGCTGTACCAGGAGCAGTCGTCCTCCGTCGGGGAGTAGGTGACGAACCGGCACGAGGCGCAGAGGCGGCAGCGCGCGGCGCAGTCGGCGAAGGAGAGGACATGGTGCGCCTGAGTGCTCCACGAGCCTGACCCGCCACGCGCGCACGACCCCTCGACGCCGTCGTTTGTCACTGCGCAGAAGCCCGGCCGCGACGCGTTTCCAGGCCACGTCGCCACGTCGATGCCGTACTCCCCACCGCCATCGCCACCACCACCACCAGCGGCGGCGGCAGCGCGGCCGCCTTCGCCCCGCACATCCGTTGCTGGGGCAGCGGGCAGGCGCGGCGGCGGCGGCGAAAGCGTTTCGCGACAGCTCTGCGCTGGGAGCGGCGGCACCTCGCGGGCTGTGGTGGACCGGAATGAGAGGAGTGACGCCGCGGGCACAACCCAACCGACGGTCGCGTTGGTGCCGCATCCGCGAACCTCCCGGTACGCCGCTGCCGCCGCTCCCGCCGCGCCCTCGCCCGCCGCCGCAGCCTCGCCCGCCGCTGTGCCGTCGGCCGAGGCTGCGGCCAGCGCGTCCACCACCGCTTGCACGGTGCTCGCCGCCACGCTGTCGTGTGCCGTCCATGGGTCCGCCCGAGGCGACGCATCGTACCTCTTCCGCAGCGCTCTCATGACGCCTTCGATACCACCCAGCTCCGTCGCTCCGCCGCTCCGCCGCAAACCCGCAGCTGCAGCGCCGGCCGACGCCGCGGCCGGCGGGTCGAGCAGCGCCGCGCCGCGCCGGCTGAGCACGAGCGTCAGCGGCGCGGGCGTGAAGCCGGCTCCGCCTTCGCCTGAAGCAGCCGCAGCGTGACCCCGCAGGGCGCCCCACATCCGCCCTCTGCTGCCCCGCCCACCGCCGGTGCCGGTCTGCGCGGGCATGCGGCGCCGCCGCACCTCAAACAGTCTGTCGCGCACGTCGAGCGGCGGAGGCGAGGCCTCTCCGGCAGCGCAGCGCTCGTACACGAACAGCCGCAGTCGCGCCGCGCCGAAGCCTCCCGGCCGCGCCACCCGAAACCCGTCAAGAAGAGCCGGGAGCGCTCGCATCAGAGGCGCAAGCGGCGTCCGGTCACAGCGGGTTAGGACGACGTCGAGCGTGACGCGTAGCGCGGGTCCGACTAGTGCGTCGAGTGAGAGCGGCAGCGAAGGGTGCTGCGCCAGCACAGGCATGTATGCACGCTTGACGCTGCCAAAGAGCTCGCGGGAAATCCTCACGGTCTCCGGCGAAGCGGCCGCACAACCGGCGGCCCGCAGGCGCTCAACGATGCGCCGAGGGCACGCGAAAGTGGAGGAGCAGATGTCCGTCTCCTCGACGAGGAGGAGAGCAGCGCAGGCGCTGGACGCTGTCATCGGACGTTATGTCAGACGTATAAACAAATAAATAAACGCCGCGCAGCCGGACTTGTGAGCCGGACCACCCCCTCTTGAACCCTGCGTTGTTGAGCCAGGACTCAACATACTCGGGCTGTCGCCGTCCCAAACTGTCACTCCCCTCTCTCCCGGCCGGGGTGGGGCGCGCGCGGGGGCGGCGGGTGTGCGGGATGTCTGTGGGCCCGAGAGCGATATGCCATGTCCCGCCTTGCTTTGTTTCCTAACATCGAAGGCTAAGCTCAATAAATAAAACGGACGCCTCTCCAAGTGCTCCTCTCGAGGTTCTCGAGGTTCTCGAGGTGACATTCCGCGGCGGCTTCGTTCTCGTCGCCTGCAGTTGCAAAGATCAACCTAAAATAAAGAAAACGAGATGGCAAAATAAAGATTTTTTTCGCGAGCCACTGCCCCGCGTCGTGCAATGAAAATAAAGCATTTTACAACGGTCAAAGAACTCAAAAAAGAAGTGGAGAAAGCAGCAACGGAAGTACGGGAACGGGGCGCCCAGGGGGCGGACGGCGTTCGAGACAGCGGTGCGGTGTACTACACGACGGGACAGACAGCCTAGCAGCGAACTCACGGCTTCGGCGGGAGACGCTTCCCTCCAACGCGAGGACGCTGCCGACAGAATCGAGAGCTCCAGCTCCACCGGCTAGCACCGCACAGTCCCCAGCGGCGGAGGCGGCGGCGCTCGCGGCACAGCGTCTAGCACGCTGCCATTCTTCCGGTAGCGACGCTGCGGCCAGCACTGCGCACCTCCCGCCACTCTCGGGCGAGGCGCAGCAGCAGCGAACGAGCGGGAGCGGGAGTGAGGCGACACGATGGAAGGTGCGCGCGGCGTCGGCTCGACGTCGATCGCCCTCGCCCTTGCACCCCACTCGGTCTCGCCTCAGGTTGTCTTCGACCTCGCAGTGCCAGGGAGCGCCACGGCGGTGCACGACTTGTTGTTGCGCGCTGGGGCGTTGCAGGTGCCTAGACTGCAGGGCTTGGCCCTGCCCTCCCCAAGATGTGCTCCGCACTGAATCAGGTGCTGGTGATGGAGGCTGCACCCGACGAGCGACCGAGCCGCACGCCCTCGCCGCCACCGACGCGGCGCCTCTCCTCGTCCTCCTCCGCGTCCTCTTGGGGAGGGAGGGAGGGAGGGAGGGAGGCGCTGGGAGGCCACAGTGGGGGGGGGGCGGCCCATCAAGCGGCCCACCAGCGAGATGAGCCCGGCTACCGGCGACGCGACCATGGTGACTACTACGGCATGGAGCGTTCGGTGGCGCCGCGGCTCGGGTGTGCCCGCGCACTGCTCGTACTAGTAATATTCCCAAAGGAGGAGCGGCATCAGAGAGGGAGCGGAGGCGCTGGATTCGATGCCCTTCATAGGGAGCAGGTGCGTCACACAGCCGACCAAAGCCATCCCCTCTTGCCTGCAGGTATTGGTGACGCGTGTGGCGACGATACACAGAATGTGGACGTCTCTTATGATCACTCTGTATGTGAGGCCGCGGCTGGTGTGCAGCACGGGCGGGAGAGGTTGGTGGCGGCGGCGGCGGCGGCGGCGGTCACAGCGGCGGAGGGCTTCAGGTGATGACGGACGTCAGGACAGCAGAAGGGAATCTCTGTCAGGAGATCTGAGTTTCTTGTTTCCCGTGCCCAGTGTTGCGGGAAAAGTTGTACAATCTGTTTCTCATGAGCTCCTTGCTCCACCCCACCCCCCCCTCGGGAGGGCCGAACTGTGGGGACCCCGCAATTCCCTTCCCCCCCTCGGAGGGCCGGACAGAGGCGTCGAGGGCCCCGCTCTTGCCCTCTCATAGCGGCCACTCTTCGGATCGCTGGTCGAGCGACCCGGGGGATGCCCCGCGCGCCTGACCCAGGGCGCGCGAGAAACGAATCTGCGAGGCGTGGCCGCTCATGCGGCCCGATGGGGAGAAGTGGGGCGGACTACGGGGATCGGCCTCTCACACCGCCCTTGCTTCCTTGCAGCGAGCCCCCTCCAACCCACCCGCGCTACAGGGGTCACACCCGACGACCTCGGGAACTAGCCGGGGCAGTCGGAGAAGGGGCAACTCCGTGCTCTGACGGTCGGCCGTCAGAAACCACGCCTGCGTGGACCGCGTCACACCAATCCTCGCTACCCAACGCAGCCAAGGGATATCCGCTTCTGCTGTTTCTGAGGGCGCGTGAGAAACTTAGCGGGCTCCGCGCTGGGGCTCCGTGGGGGGTTTCGTGTGTGTGTTCCTCGATTGGTCCCGCCCCTGCGTGTGTGTGTATTGCCGGGCGCCTCGCATTCTGTGTACTCTGTCCCACCTTTGCACTACCTAGATCGGCTTTCTTTAGTGGTCACGTCGCCGTTTTGTATTAGCCTGAACTTCTCCTCTAGACTCGTCTGCGGCCGTGTGCAGGTGGCGCTCGAGAGGGGCTACCGCGCGGCGTCAGCCGTCAGCCGTCACTTGCGGTAGTGCGGGACGGGCTTGCCCGCCGCCTCCATCTTTGCGCGGTGCTCCTCCTGCGACCGCTTGAGTCGCTCCGCCGTCAGTCCCGCCGAGTGCGTGCCTACAGCGAGTCCAGAGGACGCCCCTGGACGCTTCCTGGAAAGTACCCGTCCCCTCCGGCCGAGAGAGAGCGCGCCAAGCTTCTCCTGCCCGCGCGGCGGCGCCGCCGGCCCTCGCGCCGCCTATTGCCCGAGATCGCGCGAGATCGCGCGAGACCCGAGATACCGCGCCGCCAAGCTCCGCTCGCGCCGCCTTTGGCGCGCTCAGCTTTGAACGGATGGACGAGACCGCGGCTTGCGTCTCGACGACGGCGTCTGGGTCTGCGGCGGGGCCTCCGCCTCGCAGCCAGTCGCGCGGCCGCTTGGCGGAGGCGGAGGCGGAGGCGGAGGCGGAGGCGGAGGCGGAGGCGGAGGCGGAGGAGGAGGGCTTGAGGGGCGGGGCTTGGTTGCGGGCGAGCGCCGAGCTGCCCTGCCGCGCCATCGCCTGCGCGCGAGGAGAGTCGGCACCGCGCGGGCCGGAGTACCTACGTCATCAGCCACGAGCAGCAAGAGTTGGGAGGGGGGTGTGCTGCAGCCCTGCGGGACGCGTGTCGGCGCGAGTGCTACTGCCACCTGCCCTCCGTCTCTCCACATCCGTGTTCCGCATCTGTGTTCCGCGTGTGCCGCCACGGCTCGCGGTGGTCTTGGCCAGACGGCCTCGGCGACGACGCCGCGGAGCTCTCCGCCGCCTTCTCCTCTGCCTCGCGCCGCACCTGCTCGCGCAGCTGCTCGAGCCGGCGCAGCTCCGCCACCCGCTCAGCGACGTACGCGTCTCGCCTATTAATTAATCATTGCAAAGCATTAGATTATGGCCGGACGTCCCGGGCGACGAGCAGAGACAGTCTCGCCTCCCGTTCTTGTTGGAGATGGTGTCGTACGCCTCGCTCAGCTTGGCGAAGCCCTCCTCGCGCTTCGGGTGCTGCGACACGTCCGGCGCGCAGCAGCGCGAGAGGTCGTCGTACACGCGCCGGAGGACGAGGTCGCCGGGAGGCGTCCAGAGGAGCTTGCCGTCCGCGTCGTAGTGCGGTTCGGGCAGGCGCAGCCGCGCGAAGAGGCTCTTGGCCTGCAGCAGGTGCAGGATCCCCGCCTCCTGCTCGCGAAGCGGTATCCGGCGCTCCTTTGCCTCCTGCCGCGCAGCCTCGACCGCGGCCGCCTCGTCGAGAGTGGCGCCCTGGTGGACCCGGCCAGAGGCCTCGGTCGCGCCGCCGCGTCCGCGCGGGTTGTCGTCTTCCTCCTTCAGAAGCGAGAGGACGTCCATGTGGGTCCCGGTCTCTCTGCACGCTCGCGCCGAGAAAAAAGAATTTGAAACTAACGCACAACAGAAAAAAGAATGTGGAGACGGAGCGATGCGTCATGTGTGTGTCCGCCTTGCTTTGTTTCCACCGCTGTTTATACTCGTTTATTTACGAGGCGACCCCAGGGAACCTGGGCTCTCTCTCGAGGTTCTCGAGGTGGATATCCTTTGGCCGCGTTGGGTAGCGAGGATTGGTGTAACCCGAGCCACGGAGGCGTGTTTTCTGACGGCCGACCGTCAGTGCACGGAGTTGCCCCTTCTCCGACTGCCCCGGCTAGTTCCCGAGGTCGTCGGGTGTGACCCCTTCGTCCCCCGAGACCTATGGGCTCTAGGTTTCCTAGAGGTCCTCTAGAGAGGAGAGGTCCTACACCCGAGAGGTCCTTAGGCCTCACCCAGGCCTCGCAACCTGCCGCGGTCGGCCCTCGCCAAAAGATTGGTGAGCTGACGCGACAGAAACCCGAGTCTTGAGAGAGGCAGAAATTCTTTGAGACCTCTGTGCGCAGAGCTGCATGTGAGCATGCGCTCTCGAGTGTGCCCACAAGCAACTAGCCACCGAGACATAAGAGAGCACTTGGAGAGCATCACTTGTTTTGCTGATTGTGCGCTCTATCAGCTCTCGGTGTGTCTTGGGTTGTCTGTGCCCTTTAGTTGCTCTCATGCCTGTGTGCACGGTCTCTCCCTTCTTGCATCTCTCCCTTCCTGCAGTGTCTCGGCTCAAGCTGGCGCCAGTATTTTCTTTTTCTGTTTCTTAGCCGCCGTTCACACACAGAGATCCGCCTGTCGACGACAGCTGTCGATGCCGCTCGATGCGCCGCCCTGCGGCCCTACGGCCTCGCTCGCGTGCCACTCGCCGATACTCTGCTACCTCGAGCCGTCGTGCGCGATCTCTGGCGGCGCCGGGTGCAACGCGGCGGGCGTCGACCTTCGCTGCCGCTTCTGTGGCCAGGCTCCCTGCCTTCCCGGCCTGCCCCGTCGCGCCGCCGCCGGCACAGAGGGCAGCAGGCTACGCAGGAAACCGCGGAGGCCCTCGCCGCGGCGGATTCGCGCGCCTGTCGCCGCTACCGCCGTCACCGGCGCCGCCTCCGCCGCCGTCGCCCGTCAGCCCGCCGAGCTATCCTTCCCACCACCCGCAAGCGCCGCCGCCTCCGCCGTCGCCGCCGTCGCCGCTTGCGCCGCCGCCGACCCAATCTCCGCCTCCGCCGCGGCCCTCCCCGCCGCCGCCGGCCGCGCTCCCGCCGTCCCAAATCCTGTTTGGAGTGCGGCAGTCCGCGCCGCCGCCGCCGGCCGCGCCCTCGCTGCTCGGCGGCGCGCTGGGCGAGCTGCTCCCCGACTGCGTCGCGGTGACGGGGATGTCCGCGAGCGCGTGCGACGGCGTGGCCGACGGCGTTGCGCACCGCACGCGGGGCTCACGCCGCTGTGGGAGCCCCTCATATGAGTCTCTTTCGAGCCGCCTCTTCCATAGGCGTTGCGCACCACACGCGGACAACGTTCGGCGTGGTGCACGGGGTGCTTCGACATGTGGGGGTCAAGGTGCGCGCCAAGCGATGAGCTGGTCGACAGAGATGCGGGCTCCCAGCCTCTTTTCGTTACGCTCGCCCACAGAAGTCTCGACCGGATCTCTGGCTATCCTATCGACTCTACACTTCGGCCAGAGCTCTGGCCATGACCCACACTATCAAACTATTAGCCTAATAACGTACCTAATTATTAGCACATACCTAATAATTAGCTTATTTACACAATCAGTTTCGTGAAAAATGCTAATTATTAAATTAATAGCAGCGTTATTAGGTATGTGCTAATAATTAGGTACGTTATTAGGCTAATAGTTTGATAGTGCATGTCTCATGGGATGGTGATACACAATCTCCGTTGTCTCAGGTGTCCAGCGACCCGGGCGCTTGGAACGACTCGGCGGCGCTCGCCATGTTTGGGGTCGCGGCCGTGTCGGCGTGGGCTCTCCTCTGCCTGATCCGCTGTGCGCCATACACTGCTGCATGGCCGAGGGATATAAGGTAAGGTAAGGTAAGGTAAACTTCTCCACACACACGAGGTGGTGGGGCAAGGGGGGGCGACCCTCGCGTCTCCACGTCTGACGACAGGAGCCCCACGGCATTCGAAGCCGAGGGATATGACCTTCACAGGCACAAACACGTAGCCCGAGACCGAGACCTATCTGATACGATGGCCGAGAGAAAAACGAGATAGCACATACCATGTCAGCCCTCGCTCACGGTGTGGGAGATGCACCCCGCCGCGCGTTGCAAATCTCCCTCGAGTGAGTTGCCGTATAGGCCCGCCGGCAGGAAAGCCCGCATGCGACATCAGTTGCCGCATTCGCAAGAACGTCGGTCGGCGCAACGGACTGGCGCCGCCGCCGCCGCCGGCGCATCGCCCCAGCAGCTGGCTCGGGCAGTGGAGCTGCTGGAGCGGAACCTTGGCGGCGCTCGCCCCCCTGCCCCCCCCCGCGCTGGCCGGTGGTCGCGGGCCCCGCAGAGCCGCTCCTTCCAGCCCCTCGACGACGAGGTCGACGAGCCGCCCCGCAACGCCATGTTTCGCGCGCCGAAGAGCGGGCTCTTCGAGTAGGTGACACATGACGTGGAGCGAGGCGCACACATGACACAGGACCTGGTGTTTGTGCGACGGCCCGCTCTTTGGCTTCTCACGCTCGCTATGTCGACAAGCCGATGTGATAATGGTCTTGAGCGTGTGTGTGTGTGTTTCGCCGTGATGCGTGAAAGTTGTGTGTGCAGTCGATTCGGCGGCGGGAGCAGTCTTGCTCGTCCTCTAGCAATCTCCACCGACCGCGAGGCCGGACTAGACCGTGTGTGGGGTCATGTGAGGTGTCTCTGGTCACTCTCCTCAGGGGCTAGCCGCCAGCCGCTAGCCCTATCTCGCACTCACTGGCGGTGACAATTCTATGGGTGAGCGTATGCGAGTAGAGGCGCGTGAGCCGATTCTAGATCGCATGCCATTGGCATATAACTTGGCTTGGCGTGCACCGAATTTTTAACCCCTACCCGGTCGTTGCCGAACCCAGTTGTGGGACGCGGCTGTGTTCTCGAGGGCGTGCCGGAACTGGGCGGCGCCGCGATTGCACGCACCTTGACTGAGCCCCACTAGCCTGGTCTCGCGGCCATGATCGACACATTCCTCGTGGCCAAGCACACGCTGCTGCGGGGCAACTACATGCGCCAGCTGCGAGTCTCGCCTGCCGACAACAGCGTCATTACGACACGCCCAATGGACGACACGGCGGTGACCAACGCATGGCCTGCTGACAGCATCGTCGCCGTGGAGTCCAAGAGCGGGCTCCGCTTTGACGTCGTGCTGCACCCAGTCTGCGGCGTCTTCCCACGCCGCCTCCACTTCGCGGCGGTGTCTGCCGCCGCAAAGCCCTCGATCCTCGCGTCGCTCCGCGCGGCGGCCACCCCTCTGAATGGCGGGTCGAGCGGCGAGCGGGCTGCTCCTGTGAGCCGTCCGGCGAATCCTGCGACGGCTAGCTCGCGGTCCTGCGCCGAGTCCTCCTCCTGCCACGGGCGCGTGCCGGGTCACGAGTGTCCGTCGCCGCCACGCGACGCCCCTGCTCCGTCGCCGCCACGCGACGCCCCTGCTAGTACGCCTGGAGCCGCCGAGGAGGGCGTGTACACTCTGGCGGCGGCGGCGGCAGAGGCGGAGACCGACAAGGCGTGGTGGCGCAGCTCGTCGCAAGTACAGTACGCTTCGTCAGCGCGGCTGTGCATGCGGCGGATAGGCGGAGCTCGGTGATGGCTGGGCAGCGGCGGCGTGCAGGGCGGAGGATGGCTGGGCGGCGGCGGCGTGCAGGGCGGAGGAGGGCAGGGAGGCGGCGGAGGGCGGGAGGGAGGCTGCGGCGAGGGCGGCGGCGCCCTCCTCTCCCTTGGACGCTGCCCATGGCTCTCCTTGGACGCTGCCGCCCTCCGCCGCCTCCCTGTCGCCCGCCGGCCGGGAGGGCCATGGGCAGCGCCTCCCTACCGGGGGAGCCATCGGCGGCGTGGCGGCCTCTCCGGCGCGATCTCCCTATATCTCCCCTATATCTCCCGATATCTCCCGCGCATGTCATACGCCGTCAGGTGCGATCTCCCTATATCTCCCCCATGTCTCCCCGAGATCTCCCTATATCTCCTCCTCGCCGTTCGGGGAGCCTCTCTGCTCCTCCGACTCCTTGGACGCTGCCCATCGCCCCCCTCCGAGCGACTTGCGACCGCGGCACGTCCTGTGAAGGGTTCTCTTCACACCTGGCGAGTAGAGACCACGCCTGCTATTCACAGCACAAGCCCTCGCCGGGGGCTCGAGCATGCGCAGCGAAAAGCAACGGATCCCCCCCTGGAAAAAGTGAGGCGTGGTCTTTACTCGCCAGTCTTCACACCCTCCGGCTGGAACAGGCTCCGAGCACCTGCGACACCTGCGACCGCGCCACCTCCCCCTTCTTCTACGACGACGACGA